ACATTTTTATTCTCTGGCCAGTAGGATGCTTACACACATGACATGGATATATGCTGCATTGCACAGATTTTGGAACTGATATTATTATACTGTTTTGGAACTTATATTGCACATTTAAGTGAGCTTGGGGTGGAGAGATCCTTGAGGACCCCTTGTCTTACTGAGATTTCTTTTTAGAGATCTCATCCCGTGTTGGGACACATTTTCAAGTACAGGTACCTCGGGGGTTGAGAGCTCTGGCGGCAGGAGGCCGGAGCTGAGTTGATATATGCATGTTTACTTGTTATCGCTTTTGGATTTATACATGCCTGATTATTATGATATAACTATTGATTTGAGACATTGTTTGGCTTTGTTGCCTGATTTGGTGAGCATGGGGGTTGTCCATGCCACATTGATTTATGTTATGTTTGAGTTCATTTCAGTTGTATAATGTATCAGGACATTGTTCGGTCTACGCGTTGTAGTTCTGTGACTAGATACACAGTTATTTATACTATGAGGTTATTCAGTTAGTCTTTTATTACAATTTACATACAGGCTATATTTTAAAAAAGGAATAAGTAATCAACTTGGTTAATAATGATGATGTCATAATTGGAAAGAAAAAGTTAGCTTCCGCATTTAATTACCATATGTATGTTTAAAACGTCAGGTGCACACGGGGTGTTACAAAAAACTAGCCTAACATAGTGGAGTCAAGAAAATAATAAAGTTTTTCCAAACTCCATTGGTGTGATTGCGCGCAAGGTTGTTAAAATATCAAGATCTTACTTAAGATCGAAAGGGGGTGAAAAAATCGTAAATCGTACAATCGACACGGATCGTAAGATCGATCCTATTACCTAAAATAAAAAACTATTCAAATATATATATATATATATATATATATATATATGAGTTAGGATCATTTTACACCAGTGTAAGTTACACTCTTAATCTTGACTGTTGATTCCAATTATATCTAAGGGCTCTAATTTTTTGATAATGTGAGTCGTTGGATACAAGTGGATCGATGCTCAAGATTGGGTGTAAGACTTCTAACTCTTACACCGGTGTAAGAATATCCTGCCCTTATATATATATATTTATTATGAAACTTAAAGTCATTTACAATATTTATCAAACTTAATTGTCATAATAATAATATATTGTTATTATAACAGAAAAATCATAAATCCCATGTTTTCATTATAATTTCTTTTCCAATAATAATAAGATTAAGATATATTTCTTGAACATTATCTATAAGTTTTTTTTAAATACGAAATACTTTTGTGTAATACAAAAAATGCAATGTAAAGTTTTAAAACAGTAATTTAATCAGTTAACATTTTCGTTCAATTATATTTGCTCTCATGAGCATGTGAAATAAAAAATTCAAAGAAATATATTTTATAAATCTGAATGATATATGCTAATTTAAATAAATGAAAAATAAAAATCTGAAAGTAAAAATTTATAAATTTGAATAAATTTAAAAATGATTGCAAAGATAAAATTTGAAACAGTGGATAAGTGGACGTGCTGTGTGACACTATTTATCTTTCTCATTGGATGTATTTCTCTGTCTTTAAGCTATTTTCTTCCTTCTCCCTCTGATTCTTTATTTCTCTGTTTCTCTCTTTCAATCGCTAAATTAGTTAGCAAATGGTTGTCTTCTTTGTGGATCTGGTCTCCAACGACCGCTACCCCTACCTCCAATGGCAGACATCTTTCCACTTCTCTTTCTCTCTCACTATTTGGGTTTTTTTTTTCAAATCGTTGTAACTGCAGAATCGGATGATTCCACCGATTTAACGCCTTTACCCGTCGTTCCCAATCGATTCAAGTGAAAAGCGATTCCATATGCAGTTTAGATTGGTAGAAGAAAAAATATCGTAATATCGAACGATTCAACGATTTTTATCGCGATTTTAATAACCATGATTGCGCGGTGAATCTTCAAGATTTCCAGCATAATTTTGAATCTGACTCGTCTCCAACTCTCAAAAACATGAAATTAAGATTCGCCTCTCCGAAGAAAGTTACGCCTCTTATGTCAAGTTATGTCAAAGACTCATGAAGACTAGCTTAAATAGGTGTATGAATCCTTGTTTTAGGTGAAACATAATAGGCCTTAATTGGGTCGCAACCTAAAGCGCGCTATTTTGACAACAAAAATATGGTCTCATAGTTTGGGCATAAATTGATCTATACTCGTCTGGTTGATGTGATCTTAGTCTGGTTGAAAAGATAAAAGAGAGATTTACAACGTCTATAAATAACACAATATCAAAATCCATTATCTTGGATATGAAAAATTGTCCAAAAGACTGCTTCAGGAAAATTTTACTAAATCGTTTCTCCTCCTTTATCGCTTCAAGCCCTTCTAACTTAACCATTGGTCAAATGCTTCAATTCAACTCAATTGTCCTACAAAACAAGCAAAATTCATTCAAATAAGTCAATAATTCAAAGTTAATATTTTTTAGCCAAAGAACCTTAAGTTCTCATGCTTTTGACTAGTTAATAATGTGATTTTAGTCTATTAAAACATGATAAACTATGAGTTTATCATGCAGCAGTTATATAATTCAAAATACAAGTCATCCATAAATTAATATTGTATAACAATAATGAGAATTTAGTTTAGGTAATCCATACATATATTTTCTAGGATAGGATATTGTGTCTACTTTTTTCATGTCTACTTTGTTTACTTATTTCTAACACCGTTACATCAGAATCTCAACTAACTTTCATCATTTCTCTCTCCTCTTAAGATTCTGATTTAACAATGTTAGATATGAGTAAGTAAAGTATGTATGAAGAAAAGAAAGGCATAATATCTTATCCCATATTTTCTAGACATAATTATTTCCCTTTCAAACTTTTAGGGGGCAAAATTTTGGAGTTGTTGGATGGAGCTGGCAAATAATTCTTATTTGGACCCTCAAACCCATCTCACGGGTTTATGTTGAAAATGTGGCCCAGCTAAACAGTAAGGCAATCTTTTAAATTGTTCAAGCTAATTATTCGAACGATGACACGCACAATATTCATTCCTTGTTTACAATGGCTGAGGATTTTAATCGTTGTATAGATCAATATTATACACAAATCACGAATAAGAAGACTTAAATATAATCTTAGTTATTATTGTCATTTCATTTAACAATTCACATAATTGATAAATTAAAGTAATTACATATAAATGAGATAAAAAGTTAGGATTGAATATAACACTTTGAGCATGTATGGACTTGGAGCTAGGTTAATGGGCGAAGTATATTTCTGTGTGGATACTCGAAGTAGCATACGTACAGACCAAAACTTCAATAGAGTAACAATTCATACAAATATTGATTTGCAGATATCTCCTCAAGCGGTGAGGAAGTATGTGTGTGTGTGTTTAGAGCCTAATTTTTTTGCCAAATGTGTCACTGCTGCTTGAGGTACGTACTACACCACAATCATGTGTATGTTCAATGGATGAGCTGTGCAAGGAGTGAGAGATCCTCTATATCGAGTTCCTTATGTTCACTAAGGGAAGGCAGGGACATGACCCTTAACGAGTCTGTGCAAGTTGGTTCAATGTATTAGGTTATGAAGACCGATCTAGAACACACTTATATCAATATAAATTGGTCATACCCCTTCATTCATATTAGTATTTGGTGGGATGAGAAATTAACTTGGTTATTTATTTATTTATTTTTTTGGTTATCCATATTAACTTGGTTATTACTATGGCTTAAGGGTGTTGATGAAAATGCAAAATTAACCCAAGAATTGGCTTAGCGACGGGTACGCTATGGCCACAAATTGTAAATTTTATTTATGTAATTATTTGGGATAATGTAAAAAATATTTGTATAAATTTATTTTTCTTTTCTGTCTTTAATATGCTAATTATGTTAATTATCTATTTTTAATTAACAAAAAATAAATTGAGATATACGCGCAACGTGACCCAAACACTACAAAACACGATTAAAAGAAATGAAAATGCGAAAGCGTCTGTTTAAATTGTTTTAAAGTACTAAAACATAAAATAAGACTTCCTTGGTTAGTTTTTTTTATCTAATTGTTTTGAAAACTTGTTCTCTATATTTTGTTTTTAAAATAGAAAATAAGAATACATTTTGAAAACCCCCAAAAGAAAGAAAAGAATACAAATTGAATTTTTTTTTTTCTTTTGAATATTATATGTATTACAAAGGATTTGGTCCAGTTAAACTAGTAAATTGCAGCACATTTAAGTTTTTTCAAATCTTAAACAAAATTATTCTCTAAGTTGTACCAATGTAACAATTTTTTCATGAAGATATATAAGCTAATTTACTATGCATAATTTCTCGTTGATGCTAGCTAAAACCAAATCCTAATTTCAATATCACAAAGCATTGGAAGTGGGATGTGCCTAGCTATTAAGTTGAGTTAAGAAGCCATGTAATCAACAGTTTCTCCAACCTGAGCTTTCCAATTATGTGACATCATACAGTGGTCAATTGTTTGCCCTTACCAACATCCGTAACATAACCTCTCATTTTCACTGCACAGTCTGTTGTACTACTGCTCATATCAGACATACTTGTTCTCTCTCTTCATTATGTGTATATCCAAAGTCTAATAATTACAAAAAAATCTCACAAGCATTTCTGAATTTCCCAAAAAGAAAAAACATTGATGAATCAAAAGAAACGGCCATCCACAAACACCATGCAAGTGGCACACTCCCAAACGAAAAACGTAATTACAAATCTCTTTTAAAAATTCGACCAAAGTTGTGGTCGAGATTCAATCTCTCTGTCACTTCCAAAAAAGGAAACAAAAACCACACACGGAGTTGGATAATCTTATAAGAAAAAGTGACAACGCGGGCATGTTATTTTATTATAATTATTTTTCTTAAAATTATATATATTTTTCTTTTATACTTTATCATCAATGAATGGTTGTGATCAAATAACATGATCAAGTGATTATTTTTTTAATACGAGACGATACAAATCCCACGAACACACACCAACCCCATTATATGAGCACTCATTCTACCTCTCTTAACCCCACTCCCTTCACATTCACAGGCAACAATTATAAACCTCAGTTTTGCTGTGCATGCATATTATTGGAGTTTAATTAATTTCCCGTTTCATTGTTAATTATTTGAAGGCTGAAACTTCATTTTAGAGCGTGATTCTAGAATTGATGCTCGCGGTGTCACCTTTGAGGAGCACCAAAGATGAAAACAAAGGAGAGATGGAGAGTTTTTCGATGGGAACCGCAACCCATGATTTTGGTGACTTTTCAGATGGGAACTTATTGGAAATCATTGACTTTGATGACCTCTTTGTTGGTGTCGACGTCGAAGGCGATGTCTTGCCGGATTTGGAGATGGACACTGAGATGTTCGCCGAGTTCTCCTCCGTCAGCGGCGGCGAGGAATCGGAGATGAACTCGTCGGTTTCGGTGGAAAACAGCAAAGGTAGTGATGAACAGAATAGAACTAGTTCGAAGAATGAAGATGAAGATAAGACTTGTTGTGGTTCGGGTCAACGTTCGGGGTCAACCCTAGGGGAGGAGATAGTGAGCAAAAGAGATGAATCCGTTGAGGTGAATCCTTCCCCAAAGGATGGTGCAAAAGGAAGAAAATCTTCAGCTCAATCAAAGAATCCTCAAGGGAAGAGAAAAGTCAAGGTAATTTGCTTCCTAGCTTGATAGTTTAAACTCTTTTTTCTCAATAAGTGCTTTATTTTATTTATTTTTTCCGAAAGAAGAATTCCATAAACACAATTAGTTATTTCTACTAACATTATTTTCTCTACTCTTAGCACTTCAACACAAAATTCTCCTCTCTCTTTTTTTTTTTTGATATATAAAAGTTTAGATTAGTGAAAGACATGTTTTTTTTTACACTCAGAAAGATCACAAACCTTTGTGAGAATTTACGGTAAGATTATATATTCCCTAGAAAAAGAGATTCTTATGAATCGAACCCAATTCACTATTGGCATGGACCAAAAAGGTTTGACTAGGTATACTAACCGAGTTCAAATGAAACATGCTCCTTATCTCTTGAGGAATAATTATTATTGGTTTTATTGAAGCTCATGTGCAACTATAAGCTATAATCCTTAAGGTTCAGTCTCTATCTCAATTATGGGTCTCGACAAAGTTTCTGAGTGTCAAAAGAAGTCACGGGTACCCTAAGTTGTGGAGAGAGAGAAAGAGAGAGTGGGGGAAACAGCTAGCGCGGAAGAGTGTTATTAGAAGATTGAGATATATTGTTAAAGTGTTTGTGGGATTGCGATTTGATGTAGTACTATCTGATGGGGTGTGTGTGTGTTTGAATTGGCTTGTGTGTAGGTTGATTGGACCCCAGAATTGCATAGGCGATTCGTGCAAGCTGTGGAACAGCTAGGAATGGATAAGGCTGTGCCTTCGAGGATTCTGGAGATTATGGGAATTGATTGTCTCACTCGCCATAACATTGCTAGCCACCTTCAAGTAAATCCTCCAACTTTTTCTCTTTCTATTGATTTTCTATCTTTATATCAATTTCAAGCACTAAGGTTCAGAAAATTCTAATAAGAGAAATTAAAATTGAAATAATATTATGCTTATTGTTGATTGTAGTTAATTTGTTCCACTTCTTTTTTCTTTCTTTTTTTCTTGGAAACTCATTAAATGTACGAGTAAAATTTGATAAGCAACCATCTTAACCCAAGGGCTGACTGAAGTTATTAAGTGATTAGTATATATTAATTTTATATTATATTTCTCTAACATACTTTTTCAAGCAGTGAGAATCTTTTGAGCTTGAAGTATGAATATTATACATATCTATTTTTTTATTTTACCTTGTGCTGATTTAACTGAAGACGATAAGTGAAGGTACATCAATAACTTTATAGAATTTAAGGGCAGAGTTCTTAAGTATGTAGGTTTTTGAATGCAGAAATATAGATCCCATAGAAAACATTTGCTAGCGCGTGAAGCTGAAGCAGCAAATTGGAGTCAAAGGAGACAATCATATGGTGTAGCAGCTGCAGTTGGAGGAGAAGGGAAGAGAGATGTTAGCCCTTGGCTTGCACCCACCATGGGTTTCCCTCCCATGACTCCAATGCACCATTTTAGACCCCTACATGTATGGGGTCATCCCTCCATGCACCACTCCTTTATGCACATGTGGCCTAAAAGTCTACCACATTCTCCGTCACCACCACCGCTCTCATGGGCACCAGCAGCAGCTCCTCCACCACCACCACCTCAAGACCCTTCATTTTGGCATGTCCTGCAGCACCAGCAGGTTAACTCTCTAAACTACTAATACTCTCGTATTATAATTGAGGTTACGGGTCAACTGTTTATAAATAAATTAATTGTTAAAAAAATACGCCAGGTTTGATAATAATAATAAAAAAAAAAAACTATTAATTTGTCTTGAGTGAGATCATTTCACACAATTTTATGTCACATGAAACAATTTAAGATTTTCGGAAAAAATCAAGCCCATAAATAACGGAGTTTAAATCTGACTGATTATGAATATATCAAAATAAGTTATCTAAGTGTAAGTTAGTAGTGAAGAATTTGAATGAGATTATAGGTTCGAATTTTAATATCGCCGTTATAAAAAAATATATCAAAATTAAATTATAATTATAATACCAGTTATGGTTATTATTATTTTTTAAAATAAAAAAATAAAAAACTCATACTTAGTCAAGTTTTTTTCCCCCCCTAAACACTCATATTAATATACCTTTTTGAAACAGGCCCCAAACGAACTAATCCCAGCAGGAACACCTTGTTTTGCACAACCTCTGACAACAACGGTAACAATTCATTCATTCACCTTACTGTTTTGGAGCCACGCAAGTTGTCTTCTTTCTCCTTTGAGTTTTGGATCCTTTTACAAACAACATTCCCATAGATAATTATTGTCATATATACTCACAACCACAACCACAAACTATGGTATAGTATAAGTTTGGCTCACTCACTAAATCATATAATACAAATAACATGCAGAGATTTGGATGTCCACCTGTCGCTGGCATCCCACCCCTTGCCATTTGCAAAGCAGATCCCATCAATGGCGTACCTGGTCCCGTGCCCCTCTTCGATTTCCATCCGGTAATTTTTCTCATAATCTCTCCTCTTGTTTCATTTCCTTTCCTCCCACATTCAAACATGTTTGCATGTGTACATATTAAGTTTTATTTGAGAAATTTCCTTTTAAGTAACTACACTTGTACAAACTTACATTTTGATAGCCGTATATATAACAATCTAAGTCTAATTGTAACTTTTTATTAATGACTTTTTATAAAATGAATCAGTACTAGATTGTGCAAATACGTCATATAACTTGTGCAAGTATTTTCTCCCTCTTTGTTCAAAATCACGGTTGACTGACTCTTATGTCCTTGTCTTTTTTTTTTAAATTATCATTTTGACCCTCTTTACAAATTATATGTCAATATCTCTCAGTTTAATCACGTTTACCAATTGAGTAACTGCCTCATGTACTCGAGTAATTAACTTAGGCAAGTGGAGAACTCAAATTTAGATCTATAAATATTTTTTAGTCAAACTAAGTTCTAATTTTTTTACATGTATAAATAGACTTACGATGAGAGGTTGCGGGTCTAAAATAATTGAGAACAATCCTCGTCCAAACTCTTTATACACTAAAATTTTGTAAACTTTGGATGGGCATAATTTGTGGCTCGGTTGTCCCAATCGGGTTTTTTTATATTTTATATAACTTTTCAAAATCTACGCGATAACAAATTCTATGAGGGGATTTGGCCAAAAAAAATTTTCAAAAAAATGTTTCCTTAATGCGTTTTGGGAGTGATAAAGTATATGGGTATAAATCTTTAAATACAATATCACATAAACAAAAATATGTACATAAAATTTAGTTTAGGGGGTATAAAAAGAAATTATCCTCAATTGTTTTGGAGCCTCGAACCCATATATAAAGTTTAAATATGTGTGTGCATTACATAATAAGCATGAATAAATAAAAAATGAAGCCAATTTTACAAGTTATATTGAAAATTAACAAAAAAAATCATGTTTTGACACCTTAAATTGTATGAGGACCGTCCTCTATTGTAAAGGACTCACAAGCGCCCATCCTATGTTCATTTATACATATTCAAAACATTAGAACTTGGTTTGAATAAAAGATATTTGAGTTGCCCACTGACTTTAAATGACTTAACTGGTGGTCAATGTGATCAAACTGGGGCATATTGATATATGCATTTGATAAAATGTTAAAGTTAATAAATAATTTAAAGGGGGGCAAAATGGTAAAAAAAAATTATTACAGGGGCACAACAGTCAATTACCCCAAAACGACACTTATATCTTTGTTCATCTGCATGTGTCTACAAATAGAAGGGGTTAACATTTGTCATTTAACATGACACAACAAACTTTCCTACACACACAACATTTTGTGGATCCCACACTTTTAGAAGAAAAAAGAAAAAAAAAAACTATGGCACGTAAAACGAATCTCTATAACATTACACAATCACTTTTTCTACAATATAACTCTTATAAAACCCTAAATAGAAAGTTACGTTGGTTCTCATTGCAGTAGCTTCATGTTTCATTTTTCATAATTTATTTAACAACTGAAGTCAAGAAACTAATTATACCAGCAGTTAAGCCAATGAAATGCACATAATAGTAGAAGTTTATTTTGATAGGCTTTAAAAAATTAATTATTTTTTAAAAGGATATTTTAAAAAAATAAGAGCTATTTTGAATTTGAAATATCTAAAAAAACACTTTTATTTTTTACATAAAACACTTTTAAGTTGTTATCAAAAAAAAAAAAACACTTTTAAGTAAAAACAACTATTTTGGCTTATTTCAATGGGTTCGCTTTTTCTACGGTCAATGTATATAACTTATCTACATTGAGCCCACAATGATATCGTTTTGAGGCAGGAATCAAAGTATTTTTGTAATTATAATTTATTTCAGGGATAATAGTCTTTTCATTATAATTTTTTAATTTTTCAACCCAAAACGACATCGTTTTTGGAGCGAATGTAGATAACTTTAGAAACATTAAAGCAAGCCTATTTCAAAAGCAAAATAAATAAATTTTTGGCGATTTTTTTTTAACTTTTGTATTTTTCGAAAGCTGCATAACACACCTGAAATAAAAAGCACTTTTATTTGGGAAACCAAAAAAAAAAGCACTTTTATTTCGGGAAAAAAACATTCATTAAAAAATGCCCATCAAATGGACCCATTATGATTGCACAGTGTTGTAGGATATAAACGTACTACATATGCAATTATGCATATTTCATGAAGAGTGGAATTACATAATTAATTAATTTGTATATTATTTTATTTCAATTTGACAGTCAAAGGAGAGCATAGATGCAGCTCTTGGAGATGTTCTATCAAAACCATGGCTTCCACTGCCTCTTGGACTGAAGGCTCCAGCGCTTGATAGTGTTCTGAGTGAATTACAGAGACAAGGAATTCCACACATTCCACCCTCTTGTGATTGAATACCAATCCTTCATGTGGTGTCCTCTTGAAAACAACTAAACCCTAATTCGACGACTTCACTTCTATTACATGTTGCATTGCATATATGTTATCTAATCTAGAATGTGACTCGTTCATATTTTTCTTCTCTCGCTTTTACCAACAAAATGGAAAAAAAAAAAAAAAAAACTTTTAAGAATATTTGTTTCTTTTCTAATGTGCGATATATATGGCACGAGTTATAACTTATAATAGTTTCAACTCTTGATCATTAACCATATGTGTATGTGCGATTGTAAAGGCAGTGATTTTTGTATTAGTCGTAGTAGGAGACTAATAAGGTGAGGAATCTCTGTAAAGTGTAAAGTACTTAATTTCGTGAAATATTTCTTTTCTGAGTAGGCAATTGAGTAGATGACTCAGTTTAGGCTTTTAACTCTAATATATGTACGTGTGTGTACGCGAATATCCGTTCATTATATGAAAATTTTAATATTTAAAAAATATTCAAGAAAAAATGTATAATTAATTTAATTATAATCTAAAAAATATATATTAAAATAAAAAAATACAAATTTATAGAAAAAGATCTGCCTAATTAATTTAAAAAATTAAAATTTAAAATAAATCTTAGTAAAATAAAATATTCTCATCATTTGGTCTAGGTAATATTTTGTAAGATTAAATGAAGACATGTTTTTATTCCAATTAATTATAATAATTTGAAGGTTTATATATACTAATGATTAAAAACTTAGAATATATAAGACAAAAGAGAGGAAATTATCTTTGGGAGTACGAGGAGTATGAGTACTCTTATATTCATATACAAAGAAGGAAGAATCTAGTCAATATATTCAAATTTAAAATCGGATTAGTCAACTTATTAGAATTTCGAAGATAGATCATCCAGTCCATGGTATCTAAAAAAAAATAATCACTTATACAAACCAATTAAGATCCACATTATAGCCTTCTCTTGAATATAATTTTAAGATCTGATATATGAAAAACTTTAACTCGTTTTGAAAAAAAAAAATTAAATAAATAAGAAGAGGAGAGAGAAGCATAATTAAGGAAAAGAGCATTGGGAAAATTGATACTCAAATAGAAATAGATGTGAAACATGAACATTTTGCAGAGGGACGACAACAGATGGTAACGTGTGGGCCACAGGCCCTCAATATTCCAAGTACAAAATCAGATATTAAACCATTCCCAGATACATATGGACCCCAGGTTTTGACATGTGTCATTCAAGGCCTTGAAATTGTTTCATCTTTGTGAAGAGTTTATTCTCAATAAATAATTTTTTTTTATCAAAAAAGTTGTTAATTTTTTAAAATTTAAAATGAAACGATTCAACTATACAGTTTTATTTACCAGTAAAGTATATTTTGGGTTTTCAATAAATATTATGGGAATCAATTTAATTTCTTAAAAAAATTGACTTTTGATTCTTCTGAAATTCAAAAAAATCCATATTAGTCCTTTTGAGAAAACTATCGTGAGTCTTTTTTTGAATTTCAGATAGATTACAATTTTGATCAACTGAGTCTATTTTAAATTTTAGAGAAATCACAAGTAATTTTTTTTCTCTAAAAAATTAAAATGGGCCCATAATTTTTGTTAATGATCAAAAGATACTTTATTCTTTATTTATTTATTTGTCAACAAATCAAACGAGTCACGAGGCTTCAATAATTAAATTTAGGTATTACACAAAAAGAAAATAAAGGGTAGCCACATGATAGAAAATGTGGACCACAGTTGCATGGAATTGGAAGTAGCGTTAAATCCAGTGTTGAAGACGTAGAAGATGTATGTACTTACAACAACAAAAAAAAGAAAAAGACGTAGAAGATGAGGTGGTGGAGCCATGCCAAGGGGGCGGGCGGCGTGTATACACTTGACACACTGGTTCTTCAGTTGAGACTCTTGAACCGTAACGTGTAATACGAAGTAATCCATTGTGAATAAGGATGGATGATTATTACTACAAAAATTATGAAAGTTATGATTATTACAAAGAAAATCTATGGTATGTGAGAATCCATCACTTCCGATCTCTAGAGGATTCATGTCATGCATAAGGTGAAATGGTGAATGGTGTGGTAAGTAAGATACACCATTTAGGTGAGGACGAGGGAAGCCTATTTGCTAACCCGTTTCCTAATTAAATAATGATATCTGTTCTGGCTTGCTGAACAAGAAGTGTTTCTTGTCTATAGAGCAACGTAAGAGAGATGGCTTTTTTTTTTTTTACCTTTTTGTCACTAATTAAATTAAAAATTAATACTTTTCCCTCGCGGCAAAACTATATTTCAATGTGTCCCTGTTTGGTCATTGATTGAACTATGTAAACAATTACAATATCCATATAATCGATTACATCATGACTAATTGATGTAAACGATTACACCAGTATATGGTAATCGATTACACTAATGAAAGAAGCCATGTAAACTTTTTCACTAGATTTTTTTGGATCAAATGAGTTTTTATGATCATATACTCTTAATATTGGGCTTGAGGAGAGACTTTGTGGTATTACAAGACCTAATGTGGCACTAAATTTGAGATATTTTATGATAAAACTTCAGAAGATCATAACTTTGGCCTCGGGTGCCCGAATCAGCTATTTTTTTATTCCACATAACTTTTTGAGACGAATGCGCTGGCAAGTACCCAGAGGGGACTTGGTCAAAAAAAATTCCAAAAAATGCTTCCTTGTGCTACATTTGACATATTTTATTTCTGTGGATGATGTTATTTAATTTCTATTGTTATTTTCACTTTTCAATACTAAAAAATAATCATTCCAGCGTATAGATCTCAAAAAATTATGTGGAATGTTTCGAAAAATCGAAAGTCGATCCAATCCAAACCGAATAAAATTGGAGTGTATTGGGTTTTAAAAACATCTAAACCGAATGGATGATTAAATGATCAAATCGAAGGGATTTGATCAGATGATTTTTACTTCAAACAGATACATTCCAAACCACAAATACACCTAATAATTAACAAACAAGTTGCGCATTTGAATCCAATTGAAAGTCGAAACATTGGAAAATTTCTACATTTTTTGAACAAAAATTATAGAGGCGCTCCTTACTTAAGTGACAGACAAATTTTAGAAAATGAATTGGGTAATGAAAATAAGGGGGTGTATTGTATTAGGATTTTAAAAGACTATTTTGAGATAAAAAAATCTTATAGATTCTAAAAGTCTATCTAGAATTGTAGTGACTTTAAAGAATTTTTTAAAAGATTTTTTTACAATCAAGATTTTATAAGATTGAATTTTAATAGAATTTATAAGATTTGAAAGGACAATATGGATTTATAAGATTTTAAAAAATCATATGAATTTTAAACAAACATGCAAAATTACAAGAGTCAATAAAAAAATAACAAAGAAATACAATGATATTAATAAAAAAAGTAAAACCTAATATAATTTTCTCAATCAGTAATTTGATATAACTTGATATCCTACTAAGCAACAGCTCTCCACATATCTATATTAGCCCTCCACGCATTAGCATCTTCTCGTTCCTGCTCTTGGGTTTGACCAATGGATTGAAAAGTATCTTCTTCATTTGGTATTAGAGTTATGCATATATGATTATAAGACCCATAATTTTTTTATTTATTAAAATAATTCGAAATTTCCATATAGAACCTAAAGTTCATGATAAAATTTCATTTGAAATTTTTTGCTATTGATCTTGGAAACCATGGGATTTATGTTCTATGTGATGAGAGTTTTCTAATCATATATCATATGCATTTTTCATTGAGTATTCTAAGAAAATTTTGAATTTGAATTTCTGGGTTTTACTAGTCTATTACCCGTGCGATGCATGGGAAAAAAAGAAATCGGTTTGTGTGTCTCGTAAAAGTTAACGTACATCGTAAAAGTATATCTCTGCATTTTATTTAAATTAACACTATGGTACCTAACTCCAACTTTTTGTACATATAGAGTTGACAAATATTTGAGTTAGTACGTTTAATATTCTAACACACACTTCATAGTTGAAGTTTAATGTGGTAATTCAAAAGACCATTAATTAGCTTAATTGCATAAGAATTAATTGAGTTACTTACGGTCTATACATGTGGGCTTAGTCATTACTTACGGTCCACCAAACTTTGCAAAGGCATATTATTTGATCATTTGATATAAAATGCAAATGTCATTATATTAGTTTGTGCTATAGTCATTAAAAAATTACGTAGTTTGACTCGACTTCTTTTAGTATTTCTCAGAGATGAACTTTTATTTATCATAATATAATTATTCATTTTGTTTAAATGCTTGTTTTTTAAATATTTACAGCAGTAAATCCAATGAGCTTACAAAGATGGGTTTGATATACAATAATATAAGAAGGAAAAAACGTGTTAGCGGGTGGGCGGGGTCGAGGACTGAGCCCATTTTGTCATTTCTAACTGTCAATATTTTATATCAGCATAGTTTGTTAGATAGTAAATATAAGAAAAATAAAACGTGTTAGTGGGTGGAGTGGGTCGGCCCTCCAGGCCGAGCCCATTTTGCCATCTCTAACTGTCAGCATTTTATTAAGCATGTAATAGGTTTTTATATTTATCAACAAACAAAGTTCTTATAGTTGTGTCTATGTTACTACGTATCTATATTTTCTATAGTCGTCTCTAAATTAACTTTCTCAAGTGTGTGTATTTGTGAAATATATACTAGATGAAGAGTTGACAAATATTTGAGTTATTATCTTTAATATTCTAACAAACACTTGTCACACAAAGACGAATTTGTTAAATAGTAAATATAAGAAGAAAAAAAATATGTTGGCGGGCGGGGTTGGTCGAGACCAATTTGTCACCTCTAAATGTTAACACTTATTTAATTTGTCACCTCTAACTATCAACATTTTAGACCAATTTATATCAACATTTAGTCAGATTTTTTTAATTTTTAATTCTTTTTGGTAAACTTTTTTAATTTAAATTAATTATATATGTTTACCGAAAAAAGTTATATATATATATATATATATATATATATATATATATATATATATATATATATATATATATATATATATATATCATTTTTCCATTGCACAAACATTAAATGCTGAACTTTTTTCCCACCCATCGAGTTCAAAATTCAAATTTGAAAAGTTTGAATTTTAAGTATTAAATATTTTCTCACCCAATAGTCATAATAATAAATATTATTAATAGGATTAACAATTTGTCATGCAGAAAGTACTAAGAAATATTAAAATAGTTTGTAAAATACTTAATGACAAATATCTTTTCACGATGCAGGAGTAAAAAGACCACTTGTC